TTCAGTTTCATTCAAAAGCACTATACATCTTAACAACTAGCATGTAATCAATGAAAATGAAGCATTAATTTATCAAAAAAAATGTTCATGTCAGACAATAAAAATACAATACAGTCACGTGAAATACACTATAGTTAATATTGCAAAGTTAAAAAAATGTTGGAACTTCTATTTAAATATTGTAAATATTCAAAGTTTATTATGAGCACGCCAATTAAACTTGACAAATGAAACAGATTTAGATTAGACTGAAAAAATTACTTCAGTTCAATTGGGTTATTTTTTCATGCGAGTTTTCCATGTATTCTGTATGTAAATCAAAAACTCACTATACTGATATTTTGTAAATTCTTTTAAATTATAAAGCACTGATTAAAAGATTTCAGAAAGTGAAAATGATATCTAGTTACCTTTTGTCAATGAATATGTTTTGAGCCATTATTTAAGCTTAATTCCTCAGTTTAATATTTACTACAGTGAATGAATTTTAAACTGTTGCACACTAATTATTAAATTTAAAATTGATATTTCAAGTGATACATCAATTTTAAATGGAAGTCAATGTAATTAATATCTTAAAGTATTATTTTTTAATTTTAAAGCTATCTATAAATTTGTTAGCAACACTATGCAGCTGCTTAGACCTTGAAAATTCTGAACTGAATCAAATTTTACTTGTAGTCATTGTGGTAGGTTTTGATGCATTTATTTTTGATCTCATTGTGGTAGGTTTTGATGTCTTCGTTTTTGGTTTCATTGTGGTAAGTTCTGCTGTCTTCATTTTTGTTCTCATTGTGGTAGATTCTGATGTGTGTCTTTCTGTTATTTTATACGTTGAACTTATGTTATTTTCAATTCCATCTGCAATTATCAAAAAGATTATGCGTACTTTTATTAAAATTATCTAACATATTTGACCTGTAAATTTTATCATTAGATTTTAAATTCCAAGTCCATTTCATCAAATCTTATTATATTCTGCACAAGTTTGTTTATTTTCAGATTTTTGTAAAACAAGCGAAATCAACAGGCAGCCTTTATCCTCACTCAGCATACTTTATGCCATCTTTGAATAAATCCTTTTATATTATAAATATTAATATCAACAATAATAATATATTATTATTATTATTATAAATATTATAAATATTAATATCAACAATAATAATCAACAATAATAATAGTGTTATATACGGAAGTTTTAAATTTAAGTAATATCATAAATCAGTTGCTGTTAAAATTTATATTTTTACGCAGTCATCAGGATATTATACTTTTGTCACTTGTAAAGTATTTTTGATCCTTAATTAGTAAAAAAATGATTAAAAGAACTTTTATTTTTGTAGAAAATACAGAATGCACAGATTTCAGCTGATTAATATTCACTTAGCAGAACTATACACATTGAATTTTATTTATAATTCAAGAGATTCATAACAAAATTAGGAAAATTCATTCATAATAACTTTTCTATTTATTACTTTACTATTAGCATTTCAGGTTTTGTTGTAATATGTACTTTACCTGTTTTACAACACTTTTGTATTTTCAATGTATATTCTAAACTTGTGTCCTTAACACATATTTAGAGAAATAATTAAATTGATACTTTGTTTTTTGGTTAAGCTTTTGCTTGTGTTACTTTTTCCAATTTTATCGCTAATATCCGTGTTTAAGTCACTTCTTGTAGTTTTACTAGTGACAAGTGTGCTTAATTTATTTCCCGTAATTTTATCAGTGGTATTATGAATTTTATCAGTTGCACCTGAAACAATATCAAGAAGTAAAAGCAATACAAACTAATAAAAAGTCATCAGAATAATGCTAAAAGATAAGATCTGAAATGTGAAAGTAAAAAAGTCTCACCACTTAATTTGTTTAAACATAAAATTGAGTATGGAAAAACTGAATGAAAAATCTCAGGTGCATAACTGATTCTTCTGTACTGAGATGTAAATAGTATTGTAAAGAGCACGAAACAACCGTGCATAACTTATGAAAAGTGCGAAGAAAAATAATTTATGGGTTTATATATCAGTAGAATACAAGGAAAAAAAAATGCTTTTTACAATATTTACTTATGATATGAATAATAATTAAGTGCATTTTTTATTATTCAAAATGACTTTTCGACTGTTAGAAAATTTTGTGCATACAAAATGTGTTACTTTAGAATTCTAACCATAAATAAATTACTGAATAAAAGTTTTTATTGTAAAATTGGGAATAAAACTTGAACAAATTTTTGTGGACTTGTTACAAAAAATGATTATACATTGAATTTGAAGTTTTGTATTCTCTCAATTGCAATATTAAGTAAGTAATTTACTTCAAAGTGATCAAAAAATCATAATTACTGAGCCAATTTTTCTTTTAAACATTGTATTCAAAAATTTTTGCTCCGTTGAAAAGATTGTGCTATTTAAATCTCGTAGTATATTTTCAAACCAATTGTGAATCTGAGGATCAATAATTTTCAAAATATTTGCAGTTATTTATTAATTAACTGATATTTCATTTATACGAGTTGTGAAGAGACCAGTCCATACTCCAATCAAGTATATAACCAAAATCATATTCAGTTTTGTAGATTTACTGCATAAAAACATGTATTTAGCAAAAGTACCACTTAATCGCTGAATATTATACTTATAATCAAAATGACCACTGTTTTAGAATATCCGAGAATAAAGAATTGATAATTTTTTCAAGTATGCAAAGATTAACACATAAAATCTACAACTAATATTGATTAGTATAATATCTGATTTCAAGTGAGGAATTTTACTTATATATATATTTAATATATTTAGTGATAATAATATCACAGAAGTGACTGAATGAGATAGTTTCGAGCACTTTATTGAGTACTCAATACGATCAGATATACTGATCTCCTCCGCATACTATTTCTGGAAGTTCGTTATAATCCCATGCCATATCTTCATATGCGCAATTATTTTCGTTCTGCATTTCATTTCTGACTCAAGTTTATTACCGATTATGTGATATTTCACCTTTCTTGGTCTCTACATCTGTCAGCCTGTCCTGAGTGATGTGAACCTCTGTCACGATTATTTAATATCGCCTCTTTGATATTCGGAGATCATATTCTGTTTAACTCACTTCTGTTTAAGTCATATTATTAGTATTGTAACAACACCATATGGTTACAATATCAATAATATGATAAAGAAAGTAGCTATTTATTATAATAAAAATCCATATCACTAATCTTAGCTTTAAGAAAGTGAAGTTGACCTCATATTGACATGTAAACACGTATTTGATGCGTGAGTGCGATGTTAGAATGATCGGAAGTGATCAGTCAGTCAGTCAGTCAGTCAGTCATCCGATGAACTGAGTAAAGAAGGAATGACAAAATAAAGTAAAGTAAAGAAGAAAAGGGCAAGTTTTGCCAGTCCCTACCCTTCCATACCAATCCGAGCAACCTCTTTTCTCGTCTAGACTTGCTATCTCCATCAAGCAAGTCTTCCATTTATCAGTTACTATACTTATCCTTTTATATTCAGAGAAGAAAGAGCAAGCATTCAGCCTTGACAATTTATGCACTAAAATATATTCAGTTGTGACAATTTATGAATTATTATTATTTGTTAAAATCAATAAATGCAAATTTGAAAAGAATTGTTCATGTCTGATCCATTTGACACAGAATCTTAAATGCGTTGAGAAATACGTCGTGAAAAAGCTTTTTGTGCAATTTACTATGTGAAAAACTGCTAGTGCAATTTTATTAGTGCCAAAAATATGTGTGCTGCACAAAAATGAATTGCGCTCCCCCGTAAGCTGTTCGTTCTGTTGACATTGTCATACCTTAGTTTCATTTTGAGGGACTATTCATTACTGCAACTTCTGCATATAATAACAAAAGCGATTCATTTGCTCAGAATTAAAACGATTACATCAGAAACTTGAGCAGACTGTCATATTCATAGAGGACTGAGTTGAGGTCTTGCAGGACGAATGAATTGAACACATATTCTGAGTAAAATTTTAAAAATTACAAAAGGAAGTGGAAATATCCCATAAAATAAAATGGAAATGCAAGTAATTTAATGGCTGATTAAATATGGTTTAGGCCTTAATAGTAATTTAATGCCTTAATAGTTTCATCAATGCCTTAATGACCTTATAGTCTTACTTAATTGATCCATTTTGCTGCCTTCTGTATCTAAAAAAGTTATTAAAGAAAATAAAAAATTTTGCTGTCAAAACTTGAGTTAAAAATTATATTTCATTTAATTTGTATCCATTTTTTCCATATATTTCATTTTAGTTTTAAAATTTCTCTATTAAATATTTGAGTATCTGTGAAAGCAAAACACTCAGTTAGCTAATAATTTGTTGCTTGATAAAACTGAATTATAAATATACAACCATATTATTATATGAGTTACATCTACTAATACTATTAAGTGACTAACTAATCTGTCTATGTAGTCTTATATTGAATTTGAATTTGATTCCAGAAAGAATATTGAATTTGAAATGATTATTATATTTTAAGTATCTGTTTATTGTTAAATACCAGTGAAAAAGCAAACAAAGCTTATAATTCATGCTCAAAAACAATAACTTTAAAGTAAGTTATAAAAATTTAATTATTTAATTTAATATCTATGTAAAATACAAAATATGTGCTACATATTTTAAATAAATTACCAATCAAGGAATCATCTTGAAACAATAACATTCTAATAACTTCAACGCCGCTGGCTTTAACTGTTTTTTCATTTGTGGACTGAAAATTTATCGTCGTTTATATAAGTAAGTTTTTTATATGAATTAAAAGTGTATTATTGATATTTACTGATTTTCGCATTATTTTTTTCTTTTTCAATTACGTTTTACTCATTTGCGGTTGATTCCATCACAGATTCTTTTAGTGTTGCAAATTAACTTCTCATTTAGACTTAAATAAATAAAATTAAAATTTAAAAATCGAGAATAATTTTAAGAAAATAATTAGAAAAAATTCACCTCCAAAAGATGTAAATGTAAAAGAGGACAGCATGATGTAAGTAATATAGTAAATAAGTTCCAAAATATGCGAAATGAAATAACGCTGATTGTGGATCAAATGTTGAGATATACAGACGGAATCCATAATTTGGTACAGTAAGACAAACGAATGTGCTAAATATAAATTAATTTTATCATGAAGTCACCATATTCTCTTAATATAAATAAACGACATCGAGTTAAAATTTTAAAAGTTGAAGTATATCTTAAATTTCATTTTGTATGTCACTTTTTATCTTTAATTAACTTTGTGCATCAATTTTATTCAGTTCATTAGTTTGCTTTTATGATTTGTTTAATTGTTAGTAAATAAGATTTGTGTACGACTAAAGTTTTATTCAACCTTGTAACGATAAGAAGTGATCGACTGAGTTGAAGATCTAATAGTCGTAATTTACAACTTGAAGCAGGACGAGGTGATTTTGTGCTTGGTTGATTAGTCTTGCTTTGCTGACTTAACAAAAGTCTTTTAGCATTGGTTGAATAATCCTTAAAAATTTTATTCACAATGATTTGAATTACTCTAATAATATTTTAAATCTCATCATTATTAATTTTGTATTTTTTTGATCATTTCTTTCAAATTATAAAAAATTGTTAGTTTTATCAGTATATGTGCAAAAAAGATATAAAAATATTCATTCACAATTAATTAATTTACTAAGTTATTGGATCAAAGTCTAAATAAAATGAACGAAAAACCTTTAAATTTATATTCCGTACACCTCGATCAGAAAGTTTTAAAAATCGAACTCTTGATGTGTTAGACGAATAAAATCTCATACATTGTCGATAACGATATATAGCCAAAATATTCATTACTGTGATAAGTAATGAAGGGACTACTGTACAAATTACTGTATCGAAAATTGTTGAATAAAAGTGGATCTCAGCATGATTTAATCTGCAATTTAAAATGTAAAATAAAAGGGTTAATTTCAAGAATCAATAGAAAGAAGGAATAATGCTAAAACTTGATAAAATTTGTGACTATTACTACGATATAAACAATTAATTTAGCAAATATTTTAAACTTTGAGGGATTAATCAAAGACTAATAATTCGAAATTTAACTCATCTAAGTTATTAATCGTTTTCTTCTGCATAATTCTTATTTTATTCATAATTATGACGTCTTTCTACTGGCAGAAATATTATTTTAGAAATAATCGCATTATAAAATTATTATTTTATCTTTTTTTATTTTACAACAAATGTTAAATGAATTAATGCTTATGAATTATGCTAAAATTTACGTAAGAAATGTTAAGTTCTGAGATAAACCACAAAATACAAAATGATGATTATATTCCAAACCAGCCACTATTAAACACCACGAATAAAATATTACACTGCACAATACTGTACCATAAACCATACGCCGAGCAAATGTTTTTGAACAAACTATGATACGAATATCTAAAAAAATTCTGTTTACATTATTTATCTTATATAAAATAAATCTAATGTCGGAAATTTTATGACTAATTAGTAATTTAAAAAAGTTTAACTAACTAGTAATTTAAAAAAGTTAATGATAATATTAATGATATATTTTTCATTGCTTAGAAATTGTAATTATAAAGTTTTCATTTAATAAATTGTACCGGGTTGAAAAAGTAAGCTTGCTCGATCACAGGAAATCCATGAAATCATCCAAACGCAATTGAAATCACTCATATGAGCGAAAAATGTTAATAGCTTACATCCTAATTCAGAATTATTATAGATCGGTACTTCTAAAATGCTATCCATCCAAGTCAGTAAAACCATCGATAAAAACAAGCAGCTACAAAGGGATAACGTGCAAAGATATATGTTTGACGTCAATCGCTTCAACCAATAATTTGTTCTATAATTTATTAAAAATTGACAGGCCAATTTTAAAAAATGCATTAATAAATCTAACAACTTTTAATGAATATAATTTTTAAACTTTCCATGCGAATTTGCTATAGTTTGATTTAAATTAGATTAATTGTCCGTGACAATTTAAGTTAAAATAAACTCAATTTTATGTGATAATTCAATTAAAATTTTTGATTGAATTTGTTCTACTATGAATTTTAATTAGCTCAAAATGGATGATTTGTAATATGAACTGGATATTAGGATTCAGTAATTTCTTTCTTATGCTTCAAATATGATTTATTCGACATATGAGTTATTTAAAGCTTATTAATGAGTTAAGCTATGAAAGAAAACGAAGAAAACAAAGGCGCCAGTTGAAAATTATTTAAAAGTG